GAGAGAGAGAGAGCGGGGGTCTCACTCTTGCTCAGGCTGGTCTTGAACCTCTGAGCTCAGGCAATCCACCTACCTCAGCCTCCCAGAATGCTAGGATTATAGGTGTGAGCCAAGGCACCTGGCCTCTCCTTTTTTCTTTTTTTAAGACAGTTTTACTTGGTCACCCACAGTAGAGGGCCCACAGCAACCTCAAACTCTTGGGCTCAAGCGATCCTCCTGTCTCAGCCTCCCAAGTAGTTGGGACTACAGGTGCCCGCCACAACACCCAGCTATTTTTAAAGATGGGGTCTAGCTCTAGCTCAGGCTGGTCTAGAACTTGTGAGCTCAGGCAATCCACCTGCCTCTGCCTCCCAGAGTGCTGGGATTACAGGCATGAGCCACTGCACCCAGCCTCATGATTCTCTCCTAACCCCCTAACCCCCTATTAAAAAAATGCCTTACTGTACAGCTTACCTGAACTTTCTTTCTTTTTTTCACGACAGAGTCTCACTTTGTCAGCCTGAGTAGAGTGCTGTGCTGTCGTAGCTCACAGCAACCTCAGACCCTTGGGCTCAAGCAATTCTCTTGCCTCAGCCTCCCTAGCAGCTGGGACTACAGATACCCACCACAATACCAAGTTATTTAATTAATTTTTTTGTTCTTTTTTGTTTATGGTGGCTTTTTTTCTTTTTTGGTGGTCACCTGAATTTTATTTTTTATAAGATTTGCCCAGTCTAAGTTAGAAAACATTTTTACCATTTATATTACACATAAAAAATGAATAACAGAAAAAAACAACTAGATTTCTTTTGCTTTCAAATAATTACACATCAAAACATTTCGTATATGTGATTTTCAATCTACATATAAGAGACTCTCTAAATCAGGCATCCTCAAACTACGGCCCGCAGGCCACATGCAGCCCACCTAGGACATTTATCCAGCCCACCAGGTGTTTTTGCCGCCTCTGCCTATCCTGCTTAGCAGCTGACTTGTCCCGGGGCTCGCAGTCCGGCCCTCCAACAGTCTGAGGGACAGTGAACTGGCCCCCTGTTCAAAAAGTTTGAGGACCCCTGCTCTAAATGATATCCAGGATATATTAAAAGTTTTGTTTTAAAATAGATTTAACAGGTCTTGAATGTCAGTAAATCAGACCCTCTAGAGCACAAAGTAAAGGTATTACAATTATATGGTAACTGCTTAATATTCCAAGGAGATAAGGACCTTTGTAATATGGAAAGAAATTGAATTGGTCTTTCTACAGTGTCAAATCCTAAGACCTAGTCTCCCTTGTAGACGACTATATTGTCAGTTTCAGACACTTTTACTTTATAAAGCTCTCCCATAGGAAGTACTTTCTTGAGGTTCTCCCAGATAGATACAGCTACATGTTCAGTTGTGCTTACATCTGCAAAGCATGGCACATCCAAATTCAGATTCTTATGATCAAGAGGTTTCATAATTGCCTCCTCTATATTATTTTTTGAGGTTGGTCAAATTTATAACCATTCTTGTAACAGGATCAATCTTCGTAATTGTGTCCATGGCTGTTTGGATTGCTGCATTTCCCAAATAATTTCAAGTTTTCTTCATCATCCAGATGTTTACTGTACAGCAGGTGGCTCACGCTGAAGGAGGTGCAGTGGGACACTCGCGCCCAGCGGTGCCCGAGGTG